AGCCTATAAGAAAAGTTTTCATAAGAAACTTGATTTGTTGTTTTTCTAAAGCAAAGGTCTTGAGGAAACTATCTTGACTGTATGTGGCCCAGTATGCTCTACAGAAAATATAATCCTGCTCATACTGATGTCAAAGTCCAGAAAGTAAGAGGAAAGTGAAATGGAACAAGTCAGTAGAGGGCAACATGAGGTAGGAAGGTAGAACCAGACTATTGAAGCATTTATGAAGTTTGTATTATACAATACCAGCATACTGCCAAAATTGTTCTGATTTGTTTTTAATCAAAATATATAGCTAGGTGGAACCCACAATAATTAACTGTTCCGATTTGTTTTTTAATCAAAAAAAGCCACAATAATTAATGGATTTTTGCTCTTTCATTATGTGCGGTTAAGTCAGAACTAGAGATGGGGGTATTTGTATTCGTATATGAGTATGAATATTCCCACACAGGTGGCAATCGCAAGGGTCCAGCCCCATGGGGCCAGGCGGTCCACTCACTGATCTGCCATTGCTGTGGACACAGTGATTTTCCAATGGCTTTATAAATTGCAATCAGCTAGCCACTCCTGGCAAGAGGTGGGAGGACAAGCCTCGCTGCAAGGTTGAAGAGTGGCTCGTAGATCGTGAGCTGCAGAGCCATTGGAAGAATCGCGGTGTCTGCAGCAGCTGCAGATCAGTGAGTGGACTCTCGTTATTGCCACCTGTTGGGGATATTCATATACGAATACCCCCATCTTTAGTCAGAACTAATAGAGTTTCCATAGTATTTAAGAGTGGTTTTACCAGTTCGATCCCTCAATGAGTTTCCATGACAGATCCAGGGAATTGACCCCAGGTCTACTGAGTCCTAGTCCATTACTATATCCAATACACCACACTGAGTAACAGCTCTTTTCTGAAGACTGTGAAATCCAGTTAGGTCTAACTAGAGTAGACCGTTTAAATGAATGGCACTTGAAAAATCAACATTTTCATAAGCTCCACTGATTCAACAAGATGGGACTAACAGTTGGATTTAGCATTTATGAATACGTTTCTGACTACTAATGCATGACATCCCCCCCTTGATCCTCATTGGTATTGGTGGAATTAAAATTTGAATGCTACACTGATGCTTCCTGCCTCTTTCACGCTTTCTAGAATTTCATGTTTTTTTCCATTTTGCTAGTAGTTTTTACTAGAACAGAAGAAAATACTATTCCTATACCAACATTAATTTAGTGTGAGATGTTTTTATTTAAGAAATTCGACTGTTTGGTAGTGACATTGGTGTCTATTCCAGAAATACACTTCGAAAGCAGTCCTGTGCAGATTTGAGTTTGAAACTCAGAGCTGCTACCTTAATGTGTATCACAATTCCCAGCCTACCCCATTAGGATTGTATGCTGGTGTGTTAGTATTCCATTGCAGTTTAGGTTTGATAACTTCCCATATTCATGTTGTATAAAATAGCTTTTAGAGATTTCCACATCTGAGGATCTTGTACTTGCCTTTCTCTTTGTGCCTTCCAGCTTACCACACCATTCTCATGTCTTTCATACTTTGCTTCAGCAAAGTCCTGTAACTATACCATTCCCCTTTTTCCTTAGGCATTAACACTCCTTTTCTGTTAACATGAGTCTTGTCCAGTTCATACTTTTCCTAACATCTAATTTCTCAAATGAAACTTCTGTCATGTTTATGCTCTGATCCATGTACATGGCTAAACTAAACTGGGGGTAGAATACACAAGTACTGTAGTTAAAATGCTTGCTTTAACTGACTTTTTAAAACTTGTTTAGGTGGATCCACAAAAATATAAGAGTATCTTCAATGGATTTTCCGTTACTGTCAAAGAAGATGGTGTTCGTGGCTTGGCAAAGGGATGGGCTCCAACCTTCTTTGGATACTCTATGCAAGGACTTTGCAAATTTGGTTTCTATGAAGTATTCAAAATCCTGTATGGAAACATATTGGGAGAGGTAAAGGTTTTCTATTGCAGTTCCTAGAACTATCTTCACTCTTTTACTTCAAGGTAACCTGCCCAAAAGAGGTAACAATTTTATTGCTTGCAATTTATTTCAGGAAAATGCGTATTTATGGCGTACATCATTGTATCTGGCTGCATCTGCCAGTGCAGAGTTTTTTGCTGATATTGCCCTAGCTCCAATGGAAGCTGCTAAGGTTCGCATTCAGACACAGCCTGGATATGCTAACACACTGAGGCAGGCAGCTCCAAAAATGTTTGCAGAAGAAGGCTTTTGGGCGTAAGTATTGTTAGCAAGGGGCAAAAGCTTGTGTTGAATAGTCTGATACTGGGCCATTGTTTGTTAGGTAATCTTCAATAATAGATTGCCTCTTCAGACAGTGGTGAATGATATAGCAACTCTTATTTAGCATGTCGTAAATCTGAAGTTTTATGAGCCAACATGCTCCCTTAGATCCATCTTTGTTTGATCTCTCTTATGCTGAGTTCTGCTTGAAGCTTTGGTTTTGAGCAGTTCCACCTAAGAGGGATTAGCAACTTTATGGTTGTACAGTCAAAGATGCTTGAGTCATTGGCATGTGAGAGTAATATACCTTCACTCTAGTCTCATGTTCTGATAGAAATGACTAATGTGTCATTTTTGACTGTCAGGATTTTGCTGGAGTGTGGACATGTTTATCCATTCTGAGATTAAGGATTAGAGGGATTATTAACATCCATTTTTCCTTCTGAAAACATTGTGTTTCTAATTTTATTTGAAGTCTGATCTGTTTGGCTTGGAGGAAACTTCATAATAAAACTCAAGTTCCCATGACAAAGTGCCAGTAAGCTTACAGTAATGTTAAAGCAAGTTTTTCTAAAGTGGAATCTGGAACAGGGGTGAGCAAAGTCAGACCACAGGGAACATCAGGACCTCCAGGACCTTTTAAAAAAAAGGCAAATCCCATCCCCTAGAAATTTATTTTTTTATTTAATTTAAATTAATTTATATGCCACCCACTCTACCCAAAGGTCTCTGGGCAGCTTACAACAATTTCGAGATAACACTTTGGCATTTAAAGGCTATTTTACTTCCTTGAACTTGTTTTAGTCCCCAGAGTAACTTGTTTTTAAAAACTTGAAGTAACATTTGGATGGTTCATTTTTTAAAAAGAAAATTAGAATTTCTTGCCTAAATCAGATTGCATAGAGAGGAGACCTAACATTTAAATGACAGGTTTATCCGTGGGGTTGGGCCTGCACTTCTTGAGTCAGATTTTCTCTGGGGGTTGATGGTATATAGCTTGGCAAGAGCTAGAGGAAGGCAGAATGACTGCTAGACCCTCTGAAGTTGCCACTCCTGATCTAGAGTGTGTGTAAGTCATGTTGACATGGTTGTTCATGACCATAGAAATATGCCATATTTTAAGTTGGAACGTTTGCCTGGCTGGCTAATACTTATCCATACTAAAAGCCTGTCCAGCCATACTTTGAGGTCTCAGATGTTGATGTTTTAGATTTATTAAATCTGAACCTTCAAGATGCAAAATACGTGTTTTTTTTCTGGTCAGCTTAATTGGATAAACATAAGTTTCTGGAAGTATTCAAAAATAGTTTAAGAAAGATATTTAAAAATAAGTTTCTTCATTTTTTTCTTACTTTGAAGTTTCTACAAAGGTGTTGTTCCATTATGGATGAGGCAGATTCCATACACAATGATGAAATTTGCTTGCTTTGAACGAACTGTGGAAGCTCTCTACAAGTATGTTGTCCCCAAACCAAGAAGTGAATGTTCAAAAGCAGAACAGCTGGTTGTTACATTTATAGCAGGTTATATTGGTAAGAATGTTTTCCTGACTTCTAGAATAAAAATATTTACTCTCATACTTGCATATAATAAGTTTCCATAGCTTTAATAAGAGTGACTATTAAATTGTCTAACAATTAATTAGGGTTTTGAATGATAAACATCAAAGTAATGTGGGAAATGTTTCACTCCAGATACCATCCTGGCCAGCAAGAGCTACAATAGGTGATAATGAGAGAGGCCATTCAGTGTCTGGATGGACAGGAATCTAAAACTCATTCTAAAGTACCAGTTTCGAGAGGGCGCTACCTCAGTCCTAATGTTCACATCTAGCTGTGTGGCACTCTGCATCTGTGACAGAGCCCTCTGGATTTTGAAGTCTTCAGGGATGTAGGTGCCTTTTTGTAAAAGATGTGTATTAACATACTTTCTGTTCAATAAATAATGAGTAGATCTTGTCAGTCCATAGTAGCTGAGGGCTAGGTTGTTACTGAAAGTGAGCTCATTGATATAAATATATATGTGTGGATTCTTAATTCACATTGAACAAATCACAATCAATTGTGTAATTTATTTTCAGCTGGTGTCTTCTGTGCCATTGTTTCACATCCTGCTGATTCTGTTGTATCTGTATTGAACAAAGAAAAGGGCAGCTCAGCTGTTGAAGTGCTAAAGAGACTTGGGATAAAAGGTGAGCATTAAAAGTGGCATTTGAACTATGAAAATGCATGTATGTTTCTTATTACTAACAACAGTGTATGTTTCAACAGGAGTATGGAAGGGTCTCTTTGCCCGTATCATTATGATTGGTACTCTGACAGCACTACAGTGGTTCATCTATGACTCCGTGAAAGTGTATTTCAGGCTTCCCCGCCCACCTCCACCTGAGATGCCAGAGTCTCTGAAGAAGAAACTTGGTCTTATTGAGTAGATGAATCAAAGACTGAATGGCTGATAGCAAAACATGCAACTTTACACACATGGCAATGTAGAAGAATAAAACCTTACCAGCTCAGGCTGCAGTGTTGTCACTATTGGTCAAAATAAACTACAAGAATTACTGGTGTTTAACATGGTGTTTCAGTTCTCGGCCTGCAGAAGAACGTAATGCAATGCCTAAGGAAGCCAGTAAATTCATAGAGAAAGGATATTGAATAACTATGGGCTTTACCCTAAATTGCTTTGTTTTAAGGTAGGTTCACCAAGTTGCCTGTCCTCTTGTATAATTATTTCCAGTAGGTAATCAAGTTGTTACTTTATTCTAAACTGTAAACATGGTCACTAGTATAGTTACATTTGAGATGCTTGTAAACATGGTCACTAGTATAGTTACATTTGAGATGCTTGCTGCTAAACCATCCATGGTTAAAAATGAGTTGGCAATATAAAGTCATCTTGGTTTTATTGCTGAGGGAGGCCATATGTACATCCACTGGTACATGGAACTATTCCAACATGTGTACTATGTCGGTTATATGTATCCAGTTTTTGGCTCATGTGAAAAGACAGCCTTGTTCTGTGTATGGACCTTTGAAGACATCGTACACTTTTAAACAGCTAGCTGGCTTTTCTGGGGGTGAAGTTAAAGCAAGTTAACACAACTGTCAGCCATTTAGACTAGCTTTAAAAAGGCTGTATTTTTAATAGCATACAAGATTACAATCCATTTCCACTATTGTCTCCTTAGACTTCAAATATATTATAATTGGCCATCACCACGACTTCATAAATTATTTTCAGACATTAAATCCACCTTCCCTTGTTCAGAGGACAACAGAGGCTTCCTCAAGTCAGAACAGATCCAGACAGAGCCTTGGAATAGTAAATTTTAAATTAAAAATAAAAGGCAATTGGTGATGGCAACATGAGTCCCACTCGAAGCTATGTCTACAGAATTCTAGCCAGTGTCATTCTACTAGCAGAAATCATTGTACTCATGGGAGGAAAGGGAGAATCCAGTGCAGTTGCCAACTGTACAATTAGTATATTTTTACAGATAGAAAAACAAATGCACCACTGATTTACAGCACCCAGTATTCCCAGGTGGTCTCCCATCCAAGTACTAACCAGGCCCAACCCTGCTTAACTTCCAAGATCAGAAGAGACCGGGCATGTTCAGGGTGGTACGACCATCAGCACCACTGATTAAGGGGGGAAAAAGTCTAACAAAGCTCCAGTGGTAGACTGTTTCTTCAGCATTGCATTTTATATAGACTGAAGGCTTTATCATTGTCTACATGGGGCCTGAAATACTAGTTAATCTTAACTTCAGCCTCAATTGACATTAAATTGGAGAATTTCTTATTCAAGAAAGCAATTTCCTTCTGTCTTTCCAGCAAATCCTCAAGTAGCCTTCCTATTCTTAATGTTAGATCATCTAACATTGGTTCCAAGTGTGCTAAATTTTTCTTTAAGTTGTATACTTTTGGTTTTAAGTCATTTGCAAAGGCTACTGTTGTCAAGACTTTGACTCTATCACTTTCCAGATCTAAAAGCTTAGTTGATTGCTTATTAAAGTCTGCATTTAACACAGATATCTTTTCCATAATGTCCTGCATTTGTCGGGCATTTCCAGACGCAGTGTTCCTTAGTTCGGTAGTCCTGTCAATGCTGTTTGTAAGAAAATTTCCTATACTTTGTATTGTAGTCTTTTCAACTTTATCTACTTTATCTTCCAGACTATGTAGATTCTCTACCAATAAGGTCACATCTGTTTCAAGGCCTGAAATACGTCTAATATCAGTCTTCACAGTAGCAATTTTTATAGAGAAATCCTTAGTTACAGAAGCTGTACTCTCTTCACATTTAGTAACTGCATGAAGTAGAGGGGTTAGGTTTTTCTTGAGTTCTTCTTCTTGAAGTAACCTATTAGACCATAGTTGCATGGTGTTCACCTCTTCTTGTAGGTGCTTCATCTGAGCAATTATATGGTTATCTTCCAAGTGCTGCATTAAACTTAGTGTCTTTTCACACTAAAGATTTAAAAAAAGTTGATTAGAAAATTGAATTTAAATTTCATTTCATCAGCTTTGAACAGTTAATCAAATTAATACAGAAGCCAAGTCCTGTTTTGTGGTATTTTCCACCATAAGCATGCACAAAGAGAAAAGATTTCAAAGTTTCACAGGTGCTGTTTTCATACCTTAAATAGAGGAGGTAATATAGCGGATCTCACATACACAAATTGTATTTTGAACATTTAAGAAAGGAAGCATTTGTTCCAAAATATCTATGTCAAGAGTCCTTTCAATTTGTTCACTGAGCAGCAAAAAAAAAAAACAAAAAACCACAAAGCAGAAAGTAAGATTTACCCTCAAAGCAGTTTTGGGTCTAATGTATGGTTACAAATTGGTTTGAATTGTTATTTAAATCTTGTACACATACAGCAAGTTGGTTTCAGTCTTCTGGAAATTATGATATTGGATATACATACTATCTGGATTTTGAAAAACATTTTATGTGCTGTCAAGTTGGAACTGACCTATAGTGATTCTAATAGGACTTTCAAAGGCAAGTGAGATATTTTAGGAGTGGCTTTGCCAGTTTCACACCCCCAATGAGTTTCCATGGCTGAATGAGTATTTGAATCCAGTCCTTCCAAGTCCTAGTTTATCCCCTTTTCAAAAAGCTATAGGAACTTATGTTTCCTATGATCAGCTTCTGCTGCTGGATAGGTAGTTGAGTTATTGTCTGGATAATCCCTATGGATTTTGAGTCATGATTTCTTGTTCTCTCCACCTCTTTCTCTGCCAGATTGCTATTTAGGCTAGTATTTGATTAAACTACTGAAAAGATTCAAAATTACAAAAATAATCAATCATGGAATTATTTGTAGAATGAAGGGTGAATTGTGGAGAATATTTTAACATGAATCAAGTCTTTGCACAGGATTTCATCTGTCACACTGACTTCTCTGAGCAGCAGCTTTATAGCACAATCCTATCCATGTTTATGTAGTGGAAAATTCACTGCATATAATCAAGGTGACTCTTGAGCATGTTTTGCTTTTCTTGATCATATTGCTGTACGACAACATGTTCTGGAACAGGATTTTTCAAAAACAATTTGGGAAAAAAGATGGCAGCTAACCAAGGAAAAATTAAATTCTGATGGATTATATTACCTTTTCCAAATGCACCATATGTTTCACTTTTTGTTATTGGCTTTTGCCAAATGATAAAAATTAAGTCCCAGAATGCTGGCCTTACATAATGCCTTACCCATCAAAATTCTACTTTTATCTTCTACAAAGAGCTGTTGCAATTAAAAGCTGTTGTTTTTGAGCAACTATAGATGAATTAAAACAAATAACAAAACTAACACTATAATTAAACAAAATATGACAGTGAAAAGCAATAAAGGGAGAGGTAATTTATACTGAAGTTGTACAGTTACATAAACCTTCCATCAGCTCTCATTAGTTAGCTCCTTGCTTAAGCTAATGCTTAATTATAAAAGTTTTAAAGTTAGTACTGCATGAATTTCATGAAAAAAGCAACACTTTATTCAATGTCATGTATGGAGAAGTGCCACAACATTGCTACATACAAAATTAATGTACTGTACTGACTTCAAAAGGCCTCTCAGTGGTCAAAATAATTTTAGCTTTGCCGTTTCTTTATCTGTCCAAGATAAATTGCACATTTTAACTGCCATCTCTTTAGTTAACTATTTAAATGAAGATTAGTATCCAGCTACAAGTCTCCATCCTACCCACTACTATGAAGTACAAAATCATTCTAAAAGACTCATTTTTGTGCAGGACAGCAAGATGTGAAACCTTGCTATGTAACTACATCTGTAGCCGTACTACACAAATATCTTGACATTGCAACAGAGTTAGACAAAAACAAGGAAGACTGACTAAAAGATTTGGAGCAATTCCCAATGAAGAAAAACCTGAAAGTGGGATAAGTAGCTTGGAAAACAGTAAGTACAAAGCAATGATAGAGGTACAGTGGTGCCTCGCATTATGACGTTAATTCGTTCCAGCGAAATCGCTGTAGAACGAAAATGTAAAGAGAAATTAAACCCATAGAAACGCATTAAAACCCGTTTAATACGTTCCGATGGGCTGGAAACTCGCCGTCCAGCGAAGATCCTCCATAGGGCGGCCATTTTTGCTGCCTGTGCAGCGAGGAATCCGTCGCAGAAAACAGCGGGGGACCATTTTGTTTACCCGGGGGCCGTTTTGAAACTGCTGATCAACTGTCCGAAAATCGTTTTGCGAAGAATCGGTTCCTGAAGCAGGGAACCAATCATCGCAAAGCAAAATTCCCCCATAGGAAACCTCGTAAAGCGATCGCAAAAAGTTCATTGTAATGCGGTTTCGCCGTTAAACGGAGCGATCGTAAAGCGAGGAACCACTGTATAACATTAAACGTGGAGAAAGTGGAGCTTATTTCTGTCAGAATACAATGCAAGGTCACCAAATGTGGAATGTAGGAGACTCAGGACAAACTATTGCCTGTAACAGTCTGAATTGTGGAATTTGAAACCACAGAATATGTTTAATACACACCAATATGGATGCTTTAAAAGAGGATTAGATGAATTCGTGACAGGCCAGTAATAACGACTAAGTCTTGATAGCTGAATATTACTTTTAAATACCAGAAGCAGTCTCTCAACACTTATTTATTTATTTATTTGATTTATACCCCACTCATCTGGCCTAAAAAGACCACTCTAGGCATCTTCCAGTGTAATATAAACAAAAAAATACAAAAAATACATAAATCATTATAACATACACATACAAAAATAAAGTAAAAATAAATAAAGGGAGAATCAGAAAAATCAGGTATTAGCTGGAGGGAAGGCCTGAATGTATAGCCATGTTTTTAATTGACTTTTAAAATACTCAGTTTTGGGAAGCATAAGCAGGAAGGTGCTACTGTAAGATTTCCTTAGACATCTGGTTGGCTATTATGGCAACAAAATGTTGAGTTAGCGAATTCTGGCTAATAAAGGAAAATGACTTGTTTGTAATATTGTTATGTGCTCACAAGGTTAAAAAGAAAATAATAACGGAACAATAATTAAGGCTTAGTTGTTAGGATCATTTTCCTTATTCCCATATTTCCTTACTCCCATGTATGGCTGTGAAAGCTGGACAGTAAAGAAGCTGGTAGGAAAAAAATTGATTTGTTTGAAATGTGGTGCTGGAGGAGAGCTTTCAGATGCCCTGGAATGCCAGGAAGATGAGCAAGCTGGTCCTGGACCAAATCAAACCTGAACTATCTCTGTAGGCAAAAATGTTAAAAGAGACTGACAATGCTGGGAGAGGTTGAAGATGGATTAACTGCTTAAAGCACTGGTTCTTAACCTTGGGTTACTCAGGAGTTTTGGACTGCAACTCCCAGAAGCCTTCACCACCAGCTGTCCCTCCTGGGGTTTCTGGGGGTTGCAGTTCAAAAGCATCTGAGTAACAAAGGTTAAGAACCACTGGCCTAAAGGAACCCACAAGCTTAAATATGCAAGAGCTGAGCAGGACAGGGCATTCTGGAGATCACTCATTCACGGAGTTGCCATATGTTGGTGACTTGACAGCACGTAAGTTGTCTGGAATTCTTTAAAAGTTACTAAGGATAGTAGGAAATTCAAGAGAAAAACATTGAACCCAATCAACCTTCTACAAGTATCTGCAGCTGTACCCTAAAAATAGTAGAAATTAAATCCTACTGAACTTAGTAGGGGCTTACTTCTACATGAATAAAAGGGCCCAATGTGATTTACACCATTAAAATACAATATTTCAAGCAGAAAATAAAGTATACAATACTAAGAAGGCTCAAAGACACAAAAATGATAAAAGCAAATCATACATAAAAAAACTACAAGCAGTAAGGCTCAACGATCCATTTAAAAACCTCACTCAGGCAGCCACTACAAGCAGTAAGGCTCAACAATCCATTTAAAAACCTCACTCAGGCAGCCAGTCGCTGAGGGAAGGCTTGCCTGAAGAGAAAGGTTTTGCCAGCTTGTGGAAAGACAACAAAGATGGTAAGACACAAACCTCAAGTGAATCATTATAAAAAGTGCACCATATTGAAATATGTTAATTTTCTATTAATACTGGGGGTATAACTAAAATTTACAATGCTCTAAAACTGGTTCTCCACCTTGGTAACCCAGTTGTTCTTGGACTGCAGTTCCCAGAAGCCTTTGACACAAGTTCTGTTGGCTGGGGTTTCTGGAGGTTGCTGTCTAAGAGCATCTAGATTACTCAAGGTTGGGAATCACTGCTCGAAAAGAACAGTTCTCAAACTTTATAGAAGTTAACTTTGCCAAACCATTAAAATAACATTTTGCGCCACAGCTAAAAGGAACAGGAGTCTACTGATTTGATAAATCAATATTATAGCATGCATCCCACAAAAATAATTGCAAAAGTAGAAAATAATAACAATGTACTAGAGTGCACCAGCTGTGAACAAGAGATATCTTGCACCAGCAAAAATACTTTTTAAGAAAATACTATATATGATTTTTTTTCTCCATAACATACAGCATTATGATCCAGCACAGTATGGTTAGTAAATGTGCCACAAATTCTGAACTATTGACAGTTTTTCTATCATACATTTTGTTCAGTAAAAACTTTTATTATGTGCTTCGTAAAGTTGCACATGGTAGATTAATAAGTCTCTCGCAACCCAGAGTAATAATCTTGTCTCCCTTTCTTTGCTTCTGATACTCCCGTCTTTCCCATTGATTTTTCCCCAAATGGTTGTTGTGGGTTTTTCGGGTGCTTCTGAGACTCCCGTCTTTCCCACTGATTTTTCCCCAAATCGTTGTGGGTTTTTCGGGTTATTTGGCCGTGTTCTGAAGGTTGCTCTTCAGAACACGGCCAAAGAACCCGAAAAACCCACAACAAAAATAAATCCCTTCAGAGCACTATATCAACAAATTCAGGCTTAAAGAAAAAGGAACAGAATTGTTATAAGCAAAACTGTAAGACTCCCGTCTTTCCCACTGATTTTTCCCCAAATCGTTGTGGGTTTTTCGGGTTATTTGGCCGTGTTCTGAAGGTTGCTCTTCAGAACACGGCCAAAGAACCCGAAAAACCCACAACAAAAATAAATCCCTTCAGAGCACTATATCAACAAATTCAGGCTTAAAGAAAAAGGAACAGAATTGTTATAAGCAAAACTGTAACTTCAGATGTTCTAACACCTACCAGTTTCTATTCAAAGTCTCAATGGTTCTGCAAAGTATTCCCCCCAAACGTCTCACACATCCAACTGCTGTTTACCTAGCAACACCTTTGTGAATGCTAGGAACTCTGCAAGTAGATAAGACACCTTCAGAAGGACAACTGAGCAGACATATGGCTGTAAATAGCTCTTAAAGAGGGCCAGGGGAAAGACCAAATAATAAGGGGTAAGAAAGGGACCTAACATACACCTAACCAGCACATTACCAGCTTGAGTTTTTTCAGGAGTTCCTTGCCCTAACACTGGAACTTTACCTCAAAGGCAACATGACATTTTTAGCAGTTTTCACCTGCACTACGAGCAGCTCTTTTATGAAGCCAATTTCCTTGCAAGTCTAAGCCGCCTGAAATTATTTTGTGTTACAACAGGGGTGGATCAGAAAAGTACACTGTTGCTGGAATACCCCCTTATGTCCCTCTCCAGAACTACAATTAATTTCAGAGTTAACATCTGGGATGCTGGTTGTGGCACAATCTGGGCTAATTAGAACATCTGTGTGCTTCAACTTTGTAAATCTCAGCTTTAGTACAACACTGTCTTATCATTCCTGTATCACTACTATTCAGGATCAATCAATCACTTCTTACCATTCCCACGATGGTTGTTTTCTTCTATTGCTTCCACTGCAGATTGTGCAAAGTCATGATTTTTTTCTTTTGACTCAAGTGCTCCACTGTTTTGTTTTATGGTAGTGTTTTCATACTCCATGCCTTGAAGAGTTTTTTGTATGTTCATCACATCAGAGATGGTCTTCTTCACTTCTTCTTCTATATGGAACACCTTTATGTTCATGTCCTCCATTTTCTTCTCCATAGCAACTAGTTCACTTGATACTCTAAGAACAGAGTGAATGGCGTTTTCTATCGCTGGTAAATGGGTCTTGCACTCTTCCATTTTAGGTTCATAGTCTGCAAGTTTTTGGCTTAGATCTCTGTTTCTGGCTAGCAAATCGTTCTGTTGTTCTTCCAGTTTTCCTGCTGCTTGCCTATCAAACTGCAACTGCTCTTCAACTTTATTCAGTTCTTCTTCCTCTTGCCTATTTAATGTTTTGAGATTTCTGACTGTACTCTCTTCTAGATCTTTCAGTCTCTCAGACAGGGATTTTAGTTTTTGATCTGCTGCATTGATTTGAGAGGCAATTTCACTATGCAAAAGCTTAGCTTCTAAATTTAAATTACTAGTATTTATAGCTATTGCAGCTTGGCTTCTTTTCCAGGATTCTATTACACCTTGAAATTTCTCACTGATAGTCTGTACATTTTTGGAGTATGTCTGTTCACCATTTTGAATGTTATATATGATGTTACGGAGACTGGATATTTCTTGCTCAAACGTGGTCATCACAGAGACAGATGAAGCGGTTTCCTTCAGAATGTCCGAAGAGGACTCAAACTGCATTTGTAACACAAAACAATGTTCATCTTCATTTAATTACTGAGTTGACACTTCCCTACAGAACTAAAATATCCACAGACAGGCAAGTCATGTTTCTCATTGGATTTGTCTTCCAAATGTTATGACCTACATTTTTTGTTCCACATGATTGCAATTTGGGAGGACTAATAATTTGCCAGTTAATCTATACTCACAAGTGTTACTAAGCAGCAATAAAACTTTATTTTTACAATAATAGAGTGCAACAGGTCTAAACTAACCAGAAACAAAATAAATTCCACTTGTAAATGAAGATAAATTCTTCAGTGTATTTGAGCTAATCATGCAGCATAATGTGTTGCCATAGTGAAGAATGAGCTAAGATACATCATGAATTAACTGTGTTACAGCAACACAGACTTTATTTCCTCTGAAAAAATGTCAAAGGCTGCAACTTTACTGAAGTATTTCACAAGTCCTGTCCACATATTCTGAAGAACGTGTGCAGGCTGAAGCTTAGCCTGGAGCTAAGAACATCTCAGTGTTCACTAGGCCCTGCCTCTCCAATCCCAATCTCCCCATGAATTCTAAATGTAGAGTTCTGCCGATATTCTGTTAACTATCTCTGTTTAGACCTCACTGCTCTGTATGAAAATCTGGGGAGAGATGGGGAACCACACACAGGCACAAGGATGCTGAGGATATGGCCAGCATGCACACATCCTAACCTTGCACCCTTGCATGTTTTTCAGAACACATGAGTGAGGTCTAATTATTTTGCTTGCACTGCAGATGGAAAGATAATACTTTATTTTGTAGTGTTAAGACAACTTACACTGGTCTGCTAATGTCTCTTTTTATTTATTACTTCTTTTCAGGAAATTTGAGTCTGAAAAGGACAGATATACTCTATATTATAGACCCTAAAGTATCTAAAAGGATATTTCAGTCTACTGCTCTTTTTGTGCAATTTGATGTCATAGATATTTATTTCTAAGATTGCCCCAATGTTCAAAGGGCATGCTTCTAAGTAAGTGACTTTGTAAGACTATAACTTTAGTCTTGCACATACAACAATGGCTTGAAATCCTGTTGTATATCTCCACCTGCGCAATGGGAATCATGTTGTCTGGAGAATTGCCACTGACTAAAGCCTTCCTTCTGCAATGTCGGGGTGCATACTGCTCACAAACAATGTGACAAAAGTTGCATACACATCAAAATTGCAAAAAGAAGCCTTCAATCAGTAGCAGCCTAGTACTGCTGATGATGTATTTTCCATTGTGTAGGCAGACTCTAGCCAATAGGATTTAAGCCCAACTTTTTATAAAACCATAATTCCAAAATCCCATATATAGTTTAAACATAAATACTGTTGAATGCAATAATCTCTAAGATACAAGTGGGCAATGTGCATAACAGTGAACCCAACCTAGCTCTCCTTTGATCCCTCCCTGTCTCTTAAACAAAGCAATTTAAATGGCCAAATGCACTCCCAAAGTCTCTATATGGTAAAACTGCCCATTGATTCAGAGGCAGAAATAACTGAACTCACTCCCATTTTGGAGAGGAAAAAAACCTCACTGTACCTAAACTAGGACTGAGGGATGGGAACACCAGAGGGGGGAAAACCAGTGCTCCAGTGGTCCTCTGGGGCCAAAGGCAACACAGGTTCACTTCCTGATGCCCTGCTCTTAAGGAAACAGGATTGTGCTATAAAGCAGATTTCCATTCTAACAATTCAGTCTATGCCATAAATAGTTTTGCTGCAAATTACTCCCAAATATTTTGAACAAGGCACAGTAAGTTTGATAGTGTATGTAACTTAACTTTAAAAGCACACACATAAACACAAAGTATCATGTCTACAATGGAAAGTTACACAAGGAATATTAGAACAGGCTTGTTTAACAACACATACAGTTGAACTATACAAAATGAAACACAAAATCTGGGTTATTCAGTCATAAATTAAAATTTTATGAAACATTCAAAAATGTTTGTTTGTTTTCCAAACAATATTTTAAAACAAGTGTAAAGTTGTTTTTAAATTTAAAGTCCACTTCATCAAGCATAAGAGAAAGAGATTGGATGTGTCCACAAAAAGCTCACATTAAAAAAATACAAAAGATGTGTCCACAAAAAGCTCACATTAAAAAAATACAAAAGTTAGTCTTTGTAAAAAGACGTTTTTGTCTTTTTAAACTTTTTATTTCTATTTTGCTTTTATCTGTACTGTTTGCATAGACTAAAATGGCTACTGCTTCTGCAACTGCAAATAAAGGAGTCCAATGCGTTCAGGTGAGCAAGTAGGCCCACAAATGCAGTCCTCTAGGTCATAGCCTATTGAAGCAATTTTCCCCAAATATTTTTTTAACATTACAACATTTAAAGGTTACTAAAATGTCCTGAAAATATTAATATGTTCTTTTAATATAAACATATATTAACTGGGACATAAATTCATGAGATCTGCTTCCAAAGAAGCATGTTAGACTGCAGGTGAAATCAATTTAGAATAAAATCTTACCTGGGAGTGTATAATCTATTTGAACTCAATAATATTTTAGCTTACTTGACACAAATGACATTAGGTCTAATAATTTGGACTGATGAAATCAATTAATAGTACTAAGGTAAAGGTTCCCCTTGACATTTAGTCCAGTCATGTCCAACCCTAGGGGGCGGTGCTCATCCCCGTTTCCAAGCCGTAGAGCCAGCGTTTGTCCAAAGACAGTTTCCGTGGTGACGTGGCCAGCACGATTAGGCATGGAATGCCGTTACCTCTCCACTGTGGTGGCACCTATTTATCTACTTGCATTTTTACATGCTTTCGAACTGCTAGGTTGGCAGGAGCTGGGACAAGCGAACGGAGCTCACTCCATCATGTGGATTCGATCTTACGACTGCTGGTCTTCCAACCTTGCAGCACAGAGGCTTCTGCGGTTTAACCTGCAGCGCCACTACGTCCCCTACCATAACCCAAAAAAGACTTCCCTGAGAAAAATGCATTTAGTGCTGGCTGTAAATCTTTAATATGTACCAGATTTTAGAGAAATTAAGAAAGACCCACAGTGTCCATAATTCATTCTGAATTATTACCTTTTCAGACATTATTGTAATCTTATTTTCCATGGCTTGACATTTTACAGCTTCCTGCTTTAGTAAGTTATACTTCTCCTCCACAACAGCCAGATGAGTCGACTGCTGAAAAAGAAACCTGGAAAATACAGAAAAACAAAATCAGCAAATACTACTGCTTCTCAAAGATTGGGGGGGGGGGGTAAAGCAAATAAGGATGGGTAGGCACTCTGGGGACTACCAATACATGGATCTGCACTGCACAATCCATATCTTTGAAAATCACTTCTCTAGGCTTCTCAAGAAAATCCTTTAACATTCCTTCTTTGGTGTAGCATCTTCTGATTCTTTTGGAATCTCACCCCAGTCCATTTTCAAAGTTAACAGAAAGGTGATTAAAGGCTTCTGAACCACCTCCAACAGAAATGAAATCTGAATAGAAAATGTTGTAGTGCTGAGCTTTGTTCTGATAACAAAGCGTGGTTCAGAATAATACAAGCTTCCCAGGAAAGCCACAAAAGCACAGAAGCAGGGGGAAAGGATTAAGTTCAACCTTGGATCACCTGGTCAACAGCAAAAATAACCAAAAGGAACTGTTCTGAACCAGGTATTTTTGCCTCCTTGTGGGTAAGCCATGAGTCTGCCAATCACCTGTCTAAGGAAAACTTGCAAAATATAGACAAAAATTATATGAATTAAACACATCATGAGAAGAGGAACAAGAAGAATTAATCACACTTTTCTACTGATTAGACAGGAAAAAATTGAGGAAAACAAGTAGTAGTTTCAGCTCCCTTGTTGTTCCCCCTCAAAAAGGGAAAACCCTTCCTTGTCATTTAATGGTTTGTTGTTTAGTCATTAAGTCATGTCCAACTCTTCGTGACACCATGGACCAGACCACGCCAGGCCCTCCTGTCTTCCACTGCCTCCCGGAATTGTGTCAAATTCATGTTGGTAGCTTCGATGACACTGTCCAACCATCTCATCCTCTGTCGTTCCCTTCTCCTCCTGCCTTCACACTTTCCCAACATCAGGGTCTTTCCCAGGGAGTCTTCTCACAAGATGGCCAAAGTATTAGAGCCTCAGCTTCAGGATCTGTCCTTCCAGTGAGCACTCAGGCTTGATTTCCTTTAGAATGGATAGGTTTGTTCTCTTTGCACTCCAGGGGACTCTCAAGAGCCTCCTCCAGCACCACAATTCAAAAATACATATACTACAACATATCAGGCATAAAAGCTTGGTCCTTTGGCACCATGTATGAATGAAGTCTCCCTGGAAAAGACCCTGATGTTGGGAAAAAGTGAAGGCAAGAGGAGAAGGGGATGACAGAGGACGATGACAGTGTCATCGAAGCTACCAACATGAATTTGACCAAACTCCGGGAGGCAGTGGAGGGCCTGGCGTGCTCTAGTCCATGGAGTCACAAAGAGTTGGACACGACTTAACGCCTAAACAAAAACAAATGAATGAAGTATCCCCATCTTCCTCTATATATCAGATCACAAAATTATTTTTCAGGTGTACCCTGCCATGCTTATCATGGAGAAAAAAACAGTAACGAAAACAAATGCTTCAAAATCCACTGCTTCCTTGTGACCCTCTTTAATACAACTTTCCCCAAATAGGTGACTTCCAAGTGTGCTACATTTTTTACCATCCATAACAATGTAACATTGCCTAAGGCTGATGTGAGTTGTAGTCCAATCTGCCCAGAAGACACCATGTTAGATAAAGCCGCTTATCTGCTGAAGAAGGATTCTAGACTTCGATTAAACTCTCCTCTGTCCCTCTACCTGAAATGGTACCCTCAGATCAGTCACTGCCCATGAATCTATTGAATTAACATAAAAGGAGCTGTTTTCTGAACTTTACCTTACTCCAAATTTGTCCGTATCTCCATGATGGAACACATTTTTATGAACAGCTCAGTGCTTAATTTCTCTGCTACAGTAAGCAGAGACATGCCATTGTGCTGATGCATGTCCCAGACCAGCTAGGCTAGTTGAGACACAGTACAGTACTTTACTTAGCTTAAGTGGAGCATGCACTGAATACCATTTCCCCAATGCAGCAAGTAAGAAGCTGGACAGTTAAACACCATACCTAACTTGAAAGCACACATTTAATATTTTCCAAAATGATTTACAAATGGATATAGATGAAGACCTACAGACAGAAAAGCCCACTCCATAATGAAACTATAAGAGCTAAGGCAATAAATGTGCTTCTCTATCTTTTGGCTGAGATAAAGTGGAGTACAGTATTTATTAGGCATGGAATAACATATTATTTATTAGATTGCTTCTCCATCTTTTGGCTGAGATAAAGTGGAGTATTTATTAGGCATGGAATAACATATTAAAGTGAGCTTCATATTAAATAGCATGGGTTATAAAAACATTAAATAGCATGGGTTATAACATTTTTGTAAGACTAAGAATTTATATTTTACAGTTATTCTTCAAGCATTAATTAGCTATCTAGTCCCAACTGTTATGATATAGATTACTTATGATCACTTTTGCATAAATATAAATATGACCTGGTTCACAGTGATTTATGTATCCAAGCCTAAGTATATTTATTCAGAAGTAAGTCATGATGAACCAAACAGGGTTTATCCTGAGCAGCTGTACATATAATTGCAGGTTATTTCCAATTTTATAATTGTTACATATAAAAGACCACAATTTAAGGTTAAATGCAAGCACAAAATTACCACAAATTATGCAGTTGTATTTTTCATATTTAGCAGAATTGCAAGGGTCAGTATACGCAGATTGCAATGGATGAGCATCAACAAGGTAGAGGCTTCTTGATCAGCAATGCATTTTTAAGATCCCAAAACGACCTACGAACAAGCTCAAGTACTAAGAAATTGCCTCAAGGCTCCATATTTACAGTAACCTACTTCGCACAGATAAAAGGGCCTAGATCTCAAACTTCCTATTACAGTACTGTACTTACCATGTGAGCACTGCACACGTTATAAGGGCCAGTAAACCTGAGGCCGTTGGTGGATCCATCCACATGGACTTCTTACTCACGAATCCCGATTGCTCCTTGTCTTGGTCTTCATTTGTTCTGGCAGAAAGGTTAGCTGTCCTCCTTCGCTTCACTTCAGGCATGTTTACAATGTTTTCATACAGAATCTTTGCCCGGACTCAACAGAAGGGGGGGAAATACTTGTTTCCAAATTCTGCTTTTTCAAAACTGGCCCGCTGTACTTTCACTGCAGGTAATCCCAGCTTTGTTCAGTCCTAAAGATATCTACAGTACTCACAAATGAGTTCAAGAGAATTCTTAGGATTTTTATTCCTAGGTAACGGTCTTCAGGATGTCAACCTGAGATGGCATAACCCTTTCCCCCCAAATCCACTTCCCCCTGTAACTACCCTTTTTATGTTGTTTTGGTTTTTTTTGCATGCAAGTTGAGCACTCCTCGTTACTTATTCATCAGAAAAAATTGGGAGCGGGTGTGGGGGAGTGGACGGGCTCCCCAACTTTCATTCCACTCCGCAGAACTTCCAAGACACACGCTATACAGTAGTAGCTCCTCCTCGCCAGGACGGCCTGCCACGTCACGCCTAAGCGCGTGCACGCCGGCTCCCCACCGCGCTTGCTTCCTTGCGCGCGCTCTCGTCCTCCCCGGGCACGAGCTCGGCGCAGAAAGGCATGCATATGCGGGGGCGCGCGCGCCTTTCCTGGTTCTTTCGTTGGCGCGGCACGGGCCTCCCTTCCGTCTTTGTTCACCGGGGTGGTGGCCTCGTGGCTGCCTCGCTGCCGGGAGCGCGCCTCGTGCCTCCAAGACTTTCCGCCAAGAGGCTTGCCTTTCGCCTGGCTCCGCCCCGGGTGTTATTATCTGCACATCGCCCCGCTTCGCCTTGTCCCGGAAAGGAGGAAGTGGCCGCTAGTACAGTAGTTGTTGTGGATGGTGGGCGCTCCTCCCGGGGCGAGCTGAAGTGAGGGGGGTGAGCAGGCGTGCCTTTCTCTTCCCTTGGGCGCGCAACAGCCCTGCCTGCTCCTGAGGTAACCCTTGTAGCAGCGGGAGGAGGAGGAGGGCTAAGTAGCGCTGTCAGGAGGAAATAAACTTTAAAAATGTAGAGGCTTGCTGGGCAAAAACAGGAGGAAAGCTTGCGCTTATGGCGGTGGGGTGTGTGTGGAAAACAAAGAGGGAGCCCATTTTGGGGGTGGGTGGGTGAGAGGGCGGCAACGTAGCATCCTTAGCAAAGGATCTGGAAGCGCAACGTCAAGGGCTCACGATTTCCTTTTCATGTTTTGATGGGTGGCTCTTCGGCTGGTCGAAAGTCTGGCCTCTGTGTCTTGAGGGAAGGCGAAGAGGCGTTTGGGTTGTCATGAGCTTTTGAGTAACGAGAAACAGCTGAGGGGGGGAAAAGTGTACCTGCAGGGTGATTCCAGCACAGAGGGAGGATGTTCCTGACTAGACTCGCCCCGCCTCTGTATAATTTGATCCGTTGCCTGTGTAGACTCAGCCCTGGGATATACCCCGAACTGAAAACATCCGAAGGTTTAGTCCCGGTAACGATAGACCTGAATGGAAAAAAAATACCCTCCGATCTTGCTTTTCGTTGTCGTGGGTGCCCTTTTACTCCAGCCTTTTGTTCCGTGTGATTCTGCTGACACGACAAAAGGGAAATTGGCCATATGCAGTTTTCACGCATTTCCTCTAGATGGCAAGTGCTCCTGTTTTTAATATTTGGGACTCACTCGGAACTGGTTGTGAGGCCAGATAAGTTTTAGGACTTAAATCCTTTTGCATATGCTTGCATGTTTTGTTTGTGTACTGTACATTCTTCACTCAGATAGGTAAATACAGTAAAGCAGTGGTTCTTAACCTTTTTGAAAGAAACGCCCCCTTGAGCCATTGAGGAAGTTATCATCGCCCCCCTCCCCGCAGTGATGATATCTATCTATCTTTATTTATTTATTTATTTATTTAAGACAGTTAAATCCAATGACCCCTGAAAACAAAATTAAATTCCAAGAAAATGAAATGCCCCCAAAAAGTAACATTTAGTTGCAAGTGAATTTTAAGACGCAAAAAGAAATATAAAAAGGGCATAAAAACAAATGCAGGAACTAAAAATTTCAAGACAAAAAGTCTGAAACTTAATTTAAATTGGAGGAAAATATATATTCATGCACACTGTAAAAAGGCTGCAGCCATCTTCACAGGTTTGGTTTGCTCCAGTGCCCCCCTACCGCCCCCGTCTGCTCCAGCGCCCCCATGCAGCACCTTTTTGTTCTACCGCCCCCCTGAAAAATGAAATCGCCCACTGGGGGGCATTATCACCCACGTTAAGAACCACTGCAGTAAAGGACAGGAGAAGAGTGTACACTCGAAATACCATTTTCTCGAAATACCATTTTCTCTACTTGAGATGTATGGCTATGTCACAGGCAGCCTTAAGTAAGGGTAAGTTGGGTGCTTGCCCTGTACCCCATACTGAGTAGGGATGCTAAGCTTAGTTACTATCTCCTTAGTGTGTTGCCTGCAATAATACACTACATTTCCTTAGTATGTTGCCTGCAGTAACAAAAACATCTTAACTACAGAAACGAACCTTCCACCAGTTAGTTTCATGTTTCCTTTTCAGTTTCCAAGTTGTTGTCTTCTGTTCTAAATCAAATCAGTAAAACACAAGTTTAGTCTGAGATGAAATTAACAAGGACTACTCATAGGACCTGTAAACACAACTTGTGGGCACTGGAGAACTGAACAAGGGTGTGGCAACCTAGACTGTTCCTTATCCAGCATGCTGTTTGCCTAAGGCTGGCTCTGGTTACTGTTGACCTGAACATAATTGAGAAGGTGGTGTTCTAGTTTACAGTAAACTGATAATGAATTTATCTACAGCGTAAGCTGTGGTGTTTTGTGTTTAAATTTAGGTTTCAGAATGTTGTCTTGTTACGACACAAAAAGTATTAAAAGACCAGTAGTAGTATTTTGTATTCTTTTTGTATGTGTCCAGCAATGATTTCTGCTTTATTTACATATTTCCTTAAAAATTAGTTTACAGAATTTGAGTCCATTTACACTCCCACCACATATGATAATACATGCCAGTTTCTTCATCACATTTCCAACAGGCCTTAGAATAATCTGAATTTATTATATTCAATTTCACCGGAGTCATGTACCATCTTAAACTAATTAAAAAATTCCTTTATTCTTACCGACATTAATGTTAAAACTCTCATCTTCCAAATGTTTGTCCAATCCTCTGTTTTAATTTCTGTCTTTAAATCATGTTCCCAAATTGATTTCAAACCTTCTATTTCTGTCTCTTTTTCCTCTTGTTCCAAAAGTAGGTTATAAATTCTACTTACTACTCCCTTCCTCAAAGCATCTTTCTGCATGTCTTCATGTGATGATAGGAATTGTTCGTACTTAGTACATTCTCTACATTTCCCATTAGTTTTCAACCATTCATTTGTCCAACTATCTAATTGGATATAATTAAATCATGATAGTTTATTAGTTTGAAGTTTAACTATAATCTGATCCTTCAATCTCATTTTAGTCATCCAATCCTTCAGTCTGGCAACGTTTTTATCCTTAAACAAATCAGCTAAACCCTTCAAGTTTGCTGGGAAATTTTCTATTTTGGTCACTAATTTTAGTGGTGGAGTAAAGGGACATAACTTCTTTTTATTTCTGTTCCAGATGTTTAACATGTTTCTTAACGGTTGTTCACCTGATTTATTATGTTTCTTTTTACTACATTAAACAAATATTTTTCAGTATTCCCATTTATTTCTGAGGATTCCATATCCCACCAAATTAATCTTTCTTTGTTTTATATAATATTTCCAATAAATCTTAACTGATTTGCTATATAATAATTTTCTGTATTAGGAATACCTGAACCTTCATTATTTTGAGCTTTATACCAATATCTTTTATTCTTGATTTTTTACCTTCATTACAAAATCCATTAATTAATCCCTGCCAATACTTAAAATCTTCTAATTATACTGGGAGCATCCTGAATAAAAAAAGTAACTTTTGGTATTATTTTCATTTTGATCATAGCAAGTCTCCCAAACCATGATAGTTTCAATTTAGAATACTCTTGCAATTTATCTTTAATATCATTTTTTAATTTATTAAAATTTTGCTCCTTTAATTATTGAGTCACTTTACCCATACTTATATCTAAATATTTAATATCATTACACATTTTAAAACCACATTTATTTACAAATGTTTCTTGTTCATATTATAATTAAACATTATTTGTGTTTCTGCCTGTTACTAGATAATCTTGTTATTTCCCCAAATTTTTCTAAATCTTTTTTTTATTTTATCCATACTTTCTAATGGGTTTTTAATGGTCAATAATGAGTCATCAGTAGATAAATTACTCTTAATTGTATCATTTTTACCTAATCCTTTAATTAATTCATTATTTCTTATTGCATTAGCTAACAATTATTTTACCATACAAAACAATATTGGTGAAAGTGGACAGACTTGTCTTGTACCTCAGCCTAGAAAAATCCGTTCTGTTAAACCATCATTAACTATTACTTCTGAAGTATTGTCTGAGTATAATTGATCTATAACCCCTATAAGTCTTCTACCAAATCCCCAACCCTTTATAAGCAGCTTTAATGTTGGCCATTCCACACAATCAAAGGCCTTAAATATGTCTAGTGATAAAACAGTTACCTTTGTTTTTTCCTTTTCTACCTCTTATATAATATTCAAAACTCGCCTAGTTAAATTAGCCATTTGTCTACCTTTTACAAAGCCACATTGATCCTCTTTAATCTAATTTGTTATAAATCTATTTAATCTATTTGCTAATATAGCAGTGAAACTCTTATCTTGATTTATTAGAAATATAGGCCTATAAGATCCCGGCTCTGTTAAATCCTTGTTGGGTTTTGGGATAATAAGAGTTAGTGTTTCCAAGAAAGTGGATTGTCTCTCCTTCCAATATTTTATTATAAAACGTTTTTAGCTTAGGTATCAATAAGAAACTAAGATGTTTATAATATAATATGCCCAATCCATCAGGGCTTGGTGTTTTACCATCGCTTAGTTTATTAATAACTTCAGCAATTTCTTCTTTAATCTCTTCTAGTATTCTTTTATCAGATTTCAATAATTTAGTTTTAAAATTCTCATTTATATAATTTTCTATATTTTCGTTCAGTATATTGTTTCCTTTTTATAATTTCTGATAAAAAATGGGTTTGGAAGAATATATTTGGTTTATGTGTACGCACTTAATAATAAACAAGGAGATTTTTACGATACTGTTATTAAAGAAATGGAGAAGTTAAAGAAGGGTTATGTTATTATGGCAGAGGATTTAAATATGGTTATGTATAAGATATAGGATAAAACTTTTTATTGGAATGCTTTTTTTCAAAGAGACACAATATTGAGCAAGAAGGTAAACAATAATTGAAGGATATTTGAAGGGTAATGAAAGGTGATGAAAGAAGATATACCTATTTTTCAGCAGTATATAATAGTTACTTTAGAATATATTTTATATTCACATCTCAAGATTTAATTTCTCAGATAGTTATTACTAAGATTAATTCCATAAAAATAACAGATCATGCTTTAATGTCAATGGAGATTGAGATTTAAAAAGATTATAAAGACTCTAAAAGGTAGGGTATGGATATTAATATTTTCCAGTACTCAGAGATAATAGAAAATATAAAGAAAAAATGGTTAGAATTATGGACGATAAATGAAGCAGGATGTACGAAATTAGGCCTGTTGTGGAACACGATGAAAGCAATTTCAAGAGGAATAAATAAGGGAATCCTGTAAATTGAAAAAAAGAATAAGGAGAAAAACATGAAAAAACTGGAAGAAGACTTGAGAAATTTAGAAAGCAAGTTTTTATTTTAGAAAGAGATAGAAGGATATTGGCAGAAATTCAGGCAAAGGGAAAGGAACTAGAAAACCTAGAGACAGAGAAGGTCTAGAGGGATTTGATGTATTTAAAGATGATTTTTTTAAAATTTAATAATAAAAATTCAAAATTATTAGCTAGAATGTGTAAAATAAGATTAAGAAACATGATTGGGATAATCAAAGATAGATCAGATAAGAGATGTAATATAATGAAAGATAAATTGAAGATTTTTCAAGAATTCTATATGTTTCCACAATTTATTTGCGTTTTGAAGCTGAGTAATACATGAACAAGAAGTTAATATTTTTGTAAATCCACATATAACCCAAAACTTAAACGTGAAAGTGCTTTAATTGATTCCTGTTAAATTATTTACATTAAATCGTAGACCATATTTTTTCCAGTACCAGAGAAACTAATCAGTGTTGCTTATCTTTCCTGGTGATTTCTTTTTTTCCTCTTTTTTAAAAGATTTATTGTGATATTTAAACTGTGGACTATATCTTTCCATATATCTGATTAATAGTTTCAAAAAATTTGTATAGTAATTATTCTATAGTCTGTCAGTTGCAGGTTGAAATGCTGCAAAGTGTGTATCTACTAAGAGTGCTAGTAAGGTATTATTAGATTGTCAGTTCTTTTTTAAACTGATGGCTTGATGTTTATATCCCAGAAGACTGTTTTGCAACCTCACTTTTTGATATATTTGCTAGCTCATGTTGCTGTTTACCAGAGAAGAAGCACGTTGGAGTAAAAATGGATTTGAAGGCTCGAAGTTACTTGCTTCGGAATCGAGAGGCTCTGGAAAGAGATATCAAAATTTCCTATATAATGGACCATATGATTACAGATGGAGTATTAACTTTGCTGGAAGAGGAGAAAGTAAAAGCTGAGGTAACGTGTATGTTTTTTGTCCTTTTGTATTTGTTAGCATTTTATTGATTGATTGATTGATTTGATTTGTATCCCGCCCATCTGGTCTATAGGATCACTCTTGCCTGTACTTTATAGTGCTGCGCTAGCACAATGAGTTGGTGCCCTAGAGCAGGGGTCCCCAACTCCTGGTCCGCAGCCCCACCCCCTGCTAGCGCACCATGCCCATGCGCGCCCCCTCAAGCGCCGCCGCATGCATGCGTGCGAGGACGGTCCATACCCCAGTGAGTGTGCTGCCCCCATGCAAATGTGCCACGCCCCCCCAACTGGTCCGCGGTTGGGGACCACTACCCTAGAGTATTATCTTATGCTGATAACCATCTTCACAAGATAAAATATAGCAGCAGTTTGCAATCAGTTCTTGTAAGATGTATGTTGTAGTGCAGGGGACATGCAATGATGAAAGACAAAAAGTAAATTCCCTAAAGCTGTTTGGGTTATCATGGGCATTAGTGCAACATAAATTTGAAGTTGAATGCTAAGATATAATAATTTTTCATATTTTAAATAGAAATACTGCTATATGAATATTTTAAGTAAGTGCCAACTGCACTCAAGTTAGTTGTCAGTTGTTGCGTTTGAAGCTAGTAGGATTAAGTCATGATTAACTCTTCACTTTGATTTCAGTAGGATCTATGAAATAACTCTGAGTGAAATCGTATGCATGTCTCTTAAAAATTAGGAGCAACTGAGTCCAGTATGGCTTAACTTGTTGCTACAACATTTCATCTCTAGTCCAAGTCAAACCCTTGCTTAAGTAATACGATGATTTGTGGCTTTCTGTTAGATTTCTAGTTTCTGGACATTTGAAACTTGTCATGAATGTTAAGGGAATTTCAAAAGTTTCTGTGAAGGCAGGCTTAAATTGATTGATTTTAGTTAATGTAATTTTATCTGTGAATTTGAAGTCCGCAGTACCATATTTGGTCACAAGATGGCAAACAAGTTTGCCTCCAATGCACTGTGAAGCTACAGAGGGACAGGGAGAGTGTCAAGGGACAGTGTTAACAAAATTGTTATCCTTGCTGTGTAGTAGAAGCTTTTCTGAGAGATGCTGATGTTCGCTATAGTATTTGTTTCCTAGGAGTCTCAGTGACCATGCCTTCAGTCAGACAAGGATGTGCACAATGTGTTCAATTATGATAGCTGTATAAGTTCATTTGAAGCCTCTGGTCGATCAAGCTCAGGCTATTTTTAATAGGATATACAATATGTGCATTATATTTAATAGGACACATGGCAGAATGAGATGTCTTGAGGTTGTGAATATCTCAGATAGTTATCCGTATGGACACGTTATACTGATGTGAAGACTTAATAAACAGATGCCTGACAACTCTACATCTAAATTGAGTTTTCTGTAGGATGTGCTTACCTATTCCTTTGAAATAAATGGAAGCAAAGACTGTAATCCTGAACAAGCTTACTTGGAAATAAGTATTTTGAACTCATAGGCTGTAGCCCTATTGCATAGCCACATTCAGAATTCCTTGATGCCACTGAGGAAGATTTACACACATAGAAAATAATTGGATTTAGAAATACTGAATCAGGTGTTTCTGAAGAAGTAGCAGTGTTAGTCTGTCAGCATATTAGTCTGTGTCAGCATCTTGACTGTAGAAAAGAGCGGAAATGGGAGAAAAACTATTTTGCCACTTTAAAAATTAGCAATTTTATTTCACAGCTATTTCACAGCGAGCTTTCATGGATCAAAGTCCACTTCCTCAGATGCTGGAGTACAAGTATATGATTGATATCTTTATACTGTACTTATCCCAGTGGCCTGTAAATTAGTATATCGCAGGCAGGGCAACAGCTGTAATTTAGGTGGTTTTGGCTGTCGTAGAAAATGCTAATATATGTTATTGGGACAGATATCAGAGCATTTAAGGAAGGCAAGATGTGTATTGCTTGTACCATATGAGTGTAGTTTTCTTCTTTTTCTCCTCAGACAACACAAAGAGAAAGAGCAGCTATGCTGGTAAAACTAATTCTTGCTAAAGATGATTATGCATACATATCTTTTTACAATGCTCTGGTTCATGAGGGGTACAAAGATCTTGCTGCCCTTCTCCAGGACGGTATCCCTATTATTTCTCCTTATAATGGAAAGAATTCTATGGATGGAGAAACCTCATACGGTCAGTATCACAAGGTCACTGAATGAGAACATATAATGTACTTACATTTTGATTGAAAAAACAATTACGGCTTCAGCACTCTAGTGGAATAGTAACACATCTTGTACTTCAGAAATGTTTCATAAATGCAAAATGTGATCCTTACTTCTGTTTAAAGTGTCCAGTTGCTACACTTAACACACCTGTTGAGCAGAAGTGAAAGCTACTTTACTCTTAGTGATAACATAAAAAGAGTTACCATAAGAAAATGGCTGCAATCCAGTAGTAAGTCACAACTAGAATATGTGCATTGGAGCAGTGGAACTTACATAGATGTTGATCTCCACTGATTTAGTAGACATTCTAGTTATGTCTTAATATCCTAAGCAGCAGGATTTTAGCCATTGTATCAGTTTGTTCTGGCTCTTGAGTCAGTATTTATAGTATACCTAACCACTTAGATGATTTTAAGTTAATGATCTATAATTTAATACTTCTATTGCTTTTTGTAACTGTCTTCTCTTTCTAAATTTAAGTTAAGACTGTTCTCTGTGAAGGTGGAGTTCCACAACGACCAGTGGTGTTTGTCACCCGCCCAGAATTAGCAAAGAGAATTCAAGAGAAACTACATAAATTGAAAAGTGATCCAGGTTGGGTTGTTGTATATGGCATGGCAGGCTGTGGAAAGTCTGTTTTGGCAGCAGAAGCACTACGTGACCACAGTCTTTTGAAAGGTATTTCTAATTGCCTTCTGTCAGTAACATAGCTCTCCATGGTGCAAGTTACTACAAAACATAACTGATCTCCAGATGAGATCTGGAAGGCTGCTTCAAACTGAGAATTCAAATTTGATTTAAATTGAAGTCAAACTGGGGTGGGTTCAGTTCTGCTTTGATTCAAACCATTATATTTGGCTATAGTCTGTATTCAGACATTAACCTTATTGATACACTCACCCTTTTTTCAGAAGAGTACTTAGCTCTTCCTCCTCTTTGAAGAGTTTTAATACATGAGCAAGTGTATCTTTGCTGCGTATGTATGGCTTTTCACATGTACAAACTGAAGAAGAGGAAGAGGTAGGCACTCTTTTCTATATGTGTGGCTTTTCACATGTACAAACTGAAAAAGAAGAGGAAGAGGTAGGCACTCTTTTCTAAGTGTAGTAAGTCTTATCTGTAGAGGTAGCGACTTAATGCTCCTAGCACCTATTTCATATCTGCTGTTCAAGGTTCCTGCTAAACTGGGTGTGTGCATGAGCACAACTCCGCTTACCTCCGTGCAGCTCTTTTCTTTCTCTGCACAGTGATTGGGTTGGGTTCCATTAAGTCTTATCTGTAGAGATAGCGACTTAATGCTCTTAGCACCTATTCCATATCTGCTGTTCAGGGTTCCTGCTAAACTGGGCGTGTGCATGCGCACAACTCCGCTTCCCTCCGTGCAGCTCTTTTCCTTCTCTGCACAGTGATTGGGTTGGGTTCCAGTCATGATGGAACCCAGCACACAGGGGGCAGAGTTGCATGCGCAGAAAGGGTTGAAGCCACAAGAGAGGCTGAGCCTCACCCAGCAGGGCTGTAAATTAGAGGGTACGTTGCTGCTGTTAGAGCACACCATGATTTTGGAAGATGATGAAATGAAGTAGTCAGTTAACATGCATGGATGGTATAAACCACACAACATGAGTTATGGGTGTGTGTGCGGAATTCTGCTCAGTCAGTTGTGAGAGCATGTCCTTTCTAAGCAGTTTGATCAACATCATGCTTGTGGCCCTATATCCCTTATAGTGAAGTACATTCCATTGATTGTGCTATTAATTTTCTTGCTCTTTGTTTGCAAATGAATCTATAGATTTAGAAGTGAAATGAAGTTTATGTCTAAGGTGGCCACCTAATCATTATGCTAATATAACTTGTTACATGTAAGTAAATAGTTATTTAATAAACCGTGCCTCGTGTTGCATCCTGGAAGTATTTTGAAACATTTGCAATCAGCTATATAGGTAAAACCATATTCCACATAGTATGTAACAGCTATCTTTTATAGACCAAATTACCACAAATATTCTGCATGGCAGACTTTCATAAAGTGCTGCTCTAGTTATAGGACCAAGGATTATCTGTAGTATTTGCTTATCAATACTTTGAACTTTGAAAATGGAGACTAATATGCCCTGTGTGAACAGTGTCAAATACCGTATTTTTCGCTCCATAAGACGCACCTTTCCATAAGACGCAGCAATTTTTAGGAGAAGAAAACAGGAAAATATAATCTGTTTTCTTCACTCCATAAGACGCGCAGACTTTCCACAATATGCCCTGTGTGAACAGTGTCAAATATATGTAATACACTTACTCACGTTTGTACCAAATGTGAACATCCTATACTCAATTTTTCCCCAAGATCACTTGGTTTTGTTATTTATTTGCACATACTGTATTTGCTCCACCCAAGCTGAAAAGGTTTTCGGGGTAGTTTATATAAGATCAAAGAAAACAGTATCAAAGTAACACTTACGTTTGTACCAAATGTGAACATCCTATACTCAATTTTTCCCCAAGATCACTTGGTTTTGTTATTTATTTGCACATACTGTATTTGCTCCACCCAAGCTGAAAAGGTTTCCGGGGTAGTTAATACAGTATAAGATCAAAGAAAACAGTATCAAAGTAGGCAGTCCCTGGCCACAGGCTTACAGTCTGCAAGACGCGGCACACACAAAAGTGGACGGTTACAAAAGGAAAAAGCAAGCAAACACAGGCACAAGTTCTTAGGTTTCTCATGTGGCCATAATGCAAAATGGAAAGTGGACGGTTACAAAAGGAGAAAGCAAGCAAACACAGGCACAGGTTTCTCATGTGGCCATAATGCAAAATGCTGGGAAAATGTGTTTGTTTAGGGGTATCCATGTTCACTATTGTATTTTGATTTCAACTTGCTGCTGTGTTTTTTGTATGGTTGTTTATTTGTTTTTTTAGATTGCTTCCCAGGAGGAGTACACTGGGTTTCTGTTGGAAAACAAGACAAGGCAGGTCTGTTAATGAAGCTCCAAAATCTGTGTCTGAGATTAGACCAGGATTTCACTTATTCACAGAGGCCACCACTTAATATTGAGGAAGCAAAAGATCGCCTCCGTTCATTGCTGTTGCGCAAATATCCAGGGTAATGTCAGTAGAACAGAACAATAAGAGAGAGATTTTTTTAAAAAATCTGTTTGACTAGAATTGTACTGTCTTTGTGTCATGCTTTTCTATATGTGGAAATTTCCAGTGAATATCATGTGTTGTGTGATGTAGCATAGTGCACAGGCTGTGATGCAGACATCCCCAAGTTTGATTCCTGTGCAAGTTGTCATTGATCTAGTACTGATCTGTAGAGTTTTCATTTCTGTAGGTTTTTCATTTCATTTTTCATTTTAGTTGTCTCAAACCATCACCTCATAAACAGGGAAAATATATTTGAAAAATGAAGTACTTGGACATAGAGTTTATGGGTTCTCAGTGCATTAATGATTTCTCTAAGTATATGTGCATAATGACTTCAATTTTACCATCTTTCTCCCCTCTGTTTTGGTTGTAGATCTCTCTTGGTGCTGGATGATATTTGGGATCCGTGGGTACTAAAAGCCTTTGACAGTCAGTTCCAGATTCTTATCACCAGTAGGGACAGGAGTGTAACAGACTCTGTAACTGGTAAGAATTGTATGCCCCCCCTTATCCTATCTTTTTACATGCCTTTCACGTGTAATACTATATACAATAGTGTGACGTGTTGCCATGACTACTATTAACACTTACAAAGTGTCAAAAATGATATAGTCATTGTGTAGCATCAAGAAATGGTACTATCTTTTGGGGAATAGCTTTCCATATTGGTCGGATGAATAGTACAGGGGGAAAAAAATAAGAAGATACAAAAGCAGGAAAAATATGAAGATACTGAATTTGACTGATAAACAGTAATGTTAATTCATGTGATCGCTTTATTGATGGTTAATCATGATGGAGACTGGCTGGGTAGCTTAGTGAGTTAGGTATCTGGCTACAGAGCCAAAGGTTGGGAGTTCAATTCCCTACAGTGCCTCCAGGGAGAAGGGACAGCTTGTGTAGTTGTGGACACGCTACACAGTCCCAGAGCTCCCTTAAAAGATGGGAATGGTAAGCTGTTTCTGAGTATTGTCTATATAGAAAACACTGAAAAGGGTCACCGTACGTCGGAATTGACTTGGCAGTACACAATTATTATTAGACACAGTGGATGAAAGTCTTCATGTTAGATGGAGACTTTTTTGATAGTTTTTTTAATTACAGCTGTTATTCACTGATATTGCAGTGGTTTCCTATCCAGTCACCTTGTAATTTCTACTTGTGCCTTTTGCCTAAGTGGATCATGGATAGTGTGAAAACTGTAGTGTTCCAAATGTCCTTCTTTTTATGGAATTAGTTTGTGGTAGAACAGGTTGATGTGTTTCCTGAGGAAAAACTTTGAGCAGTACACTAGCTTAATGGGGGGGGGCAGATGCCTTTTGCCTAAGTGGATCATGGATAGTGTGAAAACTGTAGTGTTCCAAATGTCCTTCTTTTTATGGAATTAGTTTGTGGTAGAACAGGTTGATGTGTTTCCTGAGGAAAAACTTTGAGCAGTACACTAGCTTAATTGGGGGGGGGGGGGGGCAGGCAGTCCTCTGACATGAAACTGAAAAACAAACTGTAAACTGATTTGTTTTTTGGGAGGGGTTTTGATAAACAAAACACCTTTTTTGCAATTCCCATCTCTACATGTAAATATTTTCATGTACATTTTGTGCTTACACAAAGCCACAGGTCAAGATATCTGCATTTAAAGTGTACTAAAGAAGTGGTTCTTAACCTTTTTGAAAGAAACGCCCCCTTGAGTCATTGAGGAAGTTATCATCGCCCCCCTCCCCGCGGTGATGATATCTTATCTATCTATTTATCTATTTATCTATCTATCTATCTATCTATTTATTTATTTATTTATTTATTTATTTATTTATTTATTAAAGACACTTAAATCCTGAAAACAAAATTCAATTCCAAGAAAATGAAATGCCCCCAAAAAGTAACATTTAATGATTTAGTTGCAAGCGAATTTTAAGACTCAAAAAGAAATATTAAAAGGGCATAAAAACAAACCGCAATGCAGGAACTAAAAATTTCAAGACGAAAACTCTGGAACTAAATTAAGATTGGAGGAAAATATATATTCATGCACA